AAAAAAAAAAAAAAGGGGGTGTGCCAATGGGAATCCCGGGAGTTCTGACAAACAAGTGTGAGTTGGCTGGGGTGGGGAAGAGGCACTGGATGGGGTTCAGAAAACCACATGAAAAAAAAACCCGTAAGACAAAGCAACATATCTTTGGTGAAGAGGACAAAAAAAATGAGATGAATTTTAAAAATGAGGACAGGCATGGTGGCTCACGCCTGTAATTCCAGAATTGTGGGAGGCAGAAGCAGGCAGATCACGTGAGGTCAGGAGTTTGAGACCAGGCTGGCCAACATGAAGAAACCCCGACTCTACAAAAATTAGCTGGGCTTGGTGGCAGGTGCCCGTAATCAGCTACTTGGGAGGCTGAGGCAGGAGAATCGCTTCAGCCCAGGAGGCAGAGGTTACAGCGAGCTGAGATCACGCCACTCCAGCCTGGGTGACAGAGCAAGACTCCGTCTCAAAAGAAAAAAAAGAGGACAAAGTGGCTGTTAAGATCTCACTCATGCCCTCAATAGATATTTAGTGCATGCTATGTCAGACACTGCAGAGTACCTGGGAAGCAACAATAAATAGGACTCCTCCTCTCTCCTGAGCTCACAGTCCAGTCAAAGAGCCAAAAAAAAATAGCGACAGCGCCCGGCAAGAATGCAGGGAGAGCAAGGTTTGAGCTGCGACAGGGGCAGAGCACAGGGAAGGCTCCTGAGTCTGCGCCAGGAGTTCAAGACCAGCCTGATAGCAAGATTCCATCTCTACAAAAAATTTTAAAACTAGGCTGCACGTGGTGGTGCATGCCTGTGGTCCCAGCTACTCAGGAGGCTGAGGCACGGGAACCGCTTCAGCCCAGGAGTTCAAGGCTGCAGTGAGCTATGATGGCACCACTGCACTCCAGCCTGGGTAACAGAACAAGGCCCTGTCAAAAAAAAAGGCTAGCACAGGGAATCAGGCCAAGGCAGGAAGATCAATTGAGTCCAGGAGTTTGAGACCAGCCTTGGCAACATAGCAAGACCCTGTCTCTTAAAAAAAATAAGGGAAAAATGATCTTTTAGTTGGGGATTACAGTGCCAACATGAGCATTCCAAGCAAAAGAAATAGCTCAAGCAAGAGCACAGGAGCAAAGGAGTGCAGTGGAAATAGGTCAGTGGCCGGGAGAGAGAAGAGGACGGAAACCCGAGGGTCCTGACCAGGGATTAGGGCGCACTTTGTCCTGTGGGCCTGGGAAACCAATGTCAGGACTCCCAAAATTTTGACTTGTGGCGGGGCGCAGTGGCTCACACTTGTAATCCCAGCGATTTGGGAGGCTGAGGCAGGAGGATCACTTGAGCCCACGAGTTCAAGACCAGCCTGGGCAACATAGCAAGATCCCCATCTCTACAAAAGTAAAACTTAGCCGGACATCTTGGCATGTGCCTCTGGTCCCAGCTACTCAGGAGGCTGAGGTGGATCGCTCAGGCCCAGGAAATTAAGGCTGCAGTGAGCCGTGACCACACCACCACATTCCAGCCTGGGTGAGAGAGAGAGAGACCCAGTCTCAAAAACACACACACACAAATTTGGATTTGTTAGACCACATGGACACACATGATAGGAGGCATCTGGAAACAAGGCGGATACGGAGGCCATCTCTGAGGACCAAGAGAGGGGGGCAGAGATCTGGCTGCTGGTGGGGAGGAAGCATGGGCGAGGCAGCAGGAGATGGGCGCAGAGCTGAAGCAAGGGAAGCAGTGCTGTGGGCACAGCTCTGCGCAGAGAGAACACACAAGAAGAGTTCAACGCCGCTTACCTGGTGAAACCCTACAATCGTTTCCGCTCCGTACTCGCTCTGAATAATGGGCTTGTGATAAGTCTTATACCAGTTCTCAAACTGGGTGCCCAGCTGCAGCTGAATCAACTCTAGGTGCCCGTAGTCGTGATACCAAGAGTAGTAGCTGTTCACACAGATGACGTCCACGTACGGAGCCTAGGACGAGAGCGGCAGAGCCATTCACACCCAGAAGACCACACCCAGTGACTCAGCACTCACATGCTGCAGGGGCTCTTCCGGCAGACAAGGTGAGACAGGGATGTAATCCCAGCACTCTGGGGGGCTGAAGCAGGAAGACAGATTGAGGCCAGGAGTTCCAGACCCGTGTGGGCAACACAGCAAGACCCCAGCTCTACAACCCATGCAGTAAGAAAATTAGCAGGGCACGGCAGCTCATGCCTATAATCCCAGCACACTGGGAGGCTGAGGCAGGAGAATCAGCTTGAACCCAGGGGGCGGAGGTTGCAGTGAGCAAAGATTACACCATTGCACTCCAGCCTGGGCAATAGAAGGACTCTCTGTCTCAAAAAAAAAAATGCTGGCCAGGAGCGGTGGCTCACACTTATAATCCCAGTAGTTTGAGAGGCTGAGGTGGGTGGATCACCTGAGGTCAGGAGTTTGAGACCATCCTGGCCAACATGGTGAAACCCCATCTCTACTAAAAATACAAAAATTAGCTGGGTGTGGTGGCGTGCACCTGTAATCTCAGCTACTCAGAAAGCTGAGGCAGGAGAATCGCTCGAACCCAGGAGAAGGTTGCAGTGAGCTGAGATTGTACCGTTGCACTCCAGCCTGGTCAACAGGGCAAGACTCCATCTCAACGGAAAAAAAAATACTAAGGTCAGCCAGGCACAGCAGCTCGTGCCTATAATCCCAGGACTTTGGGAGGCCAAGCAGGAGGATCACTTGAGTTCAAGAGTTTGAGACCAGCCTGAGCAACGTAGTGAGATCCCATCTCTACAAAAAAATTTAGCCAGGCATGGTGATGCACACCTGGAGTCCAAGCTACTTGGGAGGCTGAGGCAGGTGGATCACTTGGGCCCACGAATTCGAGGCTGCAGTGAGCTGTGATGACACCACTGCACTCCAGCCAGGGCAACAGAGTTAAGACCTTACCTCTACAAAATTAAAAGAAAAACTCAGGTTCCAGCCCTGGAGTTACTAAATCAGGATCTCAGCATGCAGAGACCTGGCATTTCAAAAAAATGTCCCCTAGAGGTTCTGATCAGCCAGGTTTGGGCCAGATGAACTCTAAGCTCCCTTAAATCTTTGACATTTTATGAGTCTATTAAATTGAAGTGCAAAAAACGCTGAGTCCAAATTGAGCAAACAAATCCCATCTCCCTGTGCCCAGCCTCCTTGGATTCAGAAACCCACACTGCCTGTCGAGTAAGCAGGGAGAGAACTGTCACTAACCCAGAGGCCATCTGTAAAAACAGACTGGCTGCAGCTGGGCATGGTGGTACACGCCTATCACCCCAGCCCTTTGGGAGGCCGAGGCAGGAGGACTGCTTGAGCCCAGGAGTTCAAGACCCACGTGGGCAACATGGCGAGACCCTGTCTCTACCTTTTTAAGTAAAAAAACAAAATTTAAAAAACCCAGACTGGCAGAGCACAGTTCTTTCCAGCGGTTCCCATAAACAGGCTTCAGGACAAGCCCAAGCAAAGCAGGGAGCAGTGGGGCAGGGAACCCCAGGCTCACCCCCTTGTCTGCTGCATAGTTGGAGTTGGTCACGAAGGTCACAGGCCGGGAGGGGTCCAAGGCTTTGGTGTGAGTGATCACCATCCTGTCCACAAAAGGCAGAAGACACAGGTTCCGTCGGTCCAGGTTGGGCTCAGACACCCTCCCGTCCTCTCTGTCGCGTCTTCCACCGCCAGGACACAACACGGGGCCAGGCACGATGGCTCACACCTGTAATCCTAGCACTTTGGGAAGCTGAGGGAGGCAGATTGCTTGAGGTCAGGAGTTCAAGACCGGCCTGGCCAAACCCCGTCTCCACTAAAAATACAGAAATTACCCAGGCATGGCGCGCATCTGTACATCATTACAATTTACTTTAAATTATTTGAATAAAAAATATGCAAACTGGCCAGGTGCAGTGGCTCATGCCTGTAATCCCAGTACCTTGGGAGGCCAAGGCGGGTGGATCACAAGGTCAGGAGATCAAGACCATCCTGGCTAACACGGTGAAACCCAGTCTTAAAATAAATAAATAAATAATAATTTGTAAACTAAAAAAAAAGAAAGAAATATGCAAATCTGTCCGGGCGCGGTGACTCATGCCTATAATCCGAGCACTTTGGGAGGCCACGGCAGACGGATCACGAGATCAGGAGTTTGAGACCAGCCTGGCTGACATACTTAAACCCTGTCTCTACTAAAAATACAAAAATTAGCTGGGCGTGGTGGCTTGAACCTGTAATAACAGCTACTTCGGAGGCTGAGGCAGGAGAATCGCTTGAACCCAGGAGGTGGAATTGCAATGAGCCAGTATCATGCCACTGCAGTCCAGCCTGGGCGACAACGCGAGACTCTGTGTCAAAGTAAACAAAAGAAAGAAAGAAAAGACAAAGCCTGGCGCCTCTGCTTTCTTCCCTAACTTGAGGTACATTTCAATAAGGGCACATGTTCCTCTAGTCCTAGACCAAGCTCTCTAACATCACTCACTCTCCCCCGGCCCCCAAATCCTATCCCCTCAGAGGAGTGGCCACCCTTGCAGGTACACGGAGCTGAGGTCACTGGGCTGAACACTGCTGAAAATGAGGCTGACTCCTTGAAACAGCTCTTGAACATAGGAGGGGATGCGTTGCGGATTCGGATGGGATCTTTATTAAGGCATCAAGCAAATGGAGTGCGAGCTGGGGGGCAGGCATGGGGCTGGGTGCTAGGTGCTCAGGAGTGACTCAAATCTAAGTCCACAGGTCCTGGGCAGTAGGAATGCAGACATGTACACAGAGAAATGGTGCAAGTGCCACACGAGGTGGCTCACATGTAGAATCCCAGCACTTTAGGAGGGTTACTTGAGACCACGAGTTTGAGATCAGCCTGGGCAACACAGCAAGACCCTGTTTCTACAACAAATTTAGAAATTAGGGACAGGCCTGGTGGCTCACACCTGTAATCCCAGCACTTTGGGAGGCCAAGGTGGGTGGATATGAGGTCAAGTGTTCGAGACCAGCCTGCCCTACATGATGAAACCACCTCTACTAAAAATACAAAAAAAAAAAAGCTAGCTGGGCATGGTGGCACACAGCTGCAATCCCAGCTACTCAGGAGGCTGAGGCAGGAGAACTGCCAAACCCAGGAGGTAGAGGTAGCAGTGAGCCAAGATTGCACCACTGCTCTCCAGCCTGGGCAACAGAGCAAGACCCCAGCTCGGGGCTGGCACGGGGGGGACCTTAAATCTTAGTCTGGCAGTGTACACCTGTGGTTCCAACTATCTGAGAGGTTGAGGGGCAGGAGGATCACTTAAGTCCAGGAGGCCGAGGCTGCAATGAGCTGTGACTGCACCACTGCACTCCAGCCTGGGCAAGAGAGCAAGACTCTGACTCTGAAAAACAATGGAAGAAATGCTATGAATACAAATGACAAGTGGTGGCAGGAACTGGGCTCTACAAGACAATCAACAGAATTTGGACTGGAGAGTCAGGGAGAGCCTCTTCAAGAAACGGCCCTTGCCAGGAGTGGTGGCGCATGCCTGTAGTCCCAGCTACTCGGGAGGCTGAGGTGGGAGGATCGCTTGAGCCCAGGAGTTCTGGGCTGTAGTGTGCTATGCTGATAGGGTGTCTGCACTAAGTTCGGCATCAATATGGTGACCTCCCGGGAGCAGGGGACCACCAGGTTGCCTAAGGAGGGCTGAACCGGCCCAGGTCGGAAACGGAGCAGGTCAAAACCCCCGTGCTAATCAGTAGTGGGATCCCGCCTGTGAATAGCCACTGCACTCCAGCCTGGGCAACATAGCAAGACCCTGTCTCTTAAATTAAAAAAAAAAAAAAGAAACGGCCCTTATGCCGAATTGAGATCACCAGGAAGGATGAAGGGAAGAGGCTGCGGACAGAGGGACCAGTGTGTGCTCAGAGCTCCCGCGCCCACCCGAGGCCTCCACGGTACAGACTTAATTTTTTTCCGAGAGACAGTCTCTCACTCTGTTACCCAGGCTGGAATGCAGTGGTGCGATCTCAGCTTACTGCAGCCTCCGCCTCCCAGGTTCAAATGATACTCCTGCCTCAGCCTCACAAGTAGCTGGGATTATAGGCACATGCCACCACAACCAGCTAAGTTTTGTATTTTTAGTAGAGACGGGTTTCACTGTCTATTGGACAGGCTCGTCTGGAACTCAAGGTGATCCACCCGCCTCAGACCCCCAAGTGCTGGGATTGCGGGCACGAGTCACTGTACCCGGCCTAGACTGTTGTTGAAGCCTGTTTTCCTCTTCTCTTTCCTCAGTTCTTTTTTTGAGATGGAGTCTTGCTCTGTCGCCAGGCTGGAGTGCAGTGGTGTGATCTCGGCTCACTGCAACCTCCACATCCCAGGTTCAAGCAATTTTCCTGCCTCACCTCCAGAGTACTTGGGACTACAGGCACCCGCCACCCCACCATGCCCAACTAATTTTTGAATTTTTTTTAGTAGAAACAAGTTCTCACTATGTTGGCCAGGATGGTCTCGATCTCTTGACCTCGTGATCCACCCGCCTCGGCCTCCCAAAGTGCTGGGATTACAGGCATAAGCCATTGTGCTCAGCCCATTTCTCTTCTTTTACACCCTCCCCCATCATTGCTCTGCTCATCTGAAGGCTGTGGCTGGCACAGGACAGAACAGAATCCCCAGCCTCAAGTTCCAAATCCACACTCTCCAACAGCCAGGCTCTCAAACAGGAAGCTTCAAAGCCTTGTGACAGCCTGGCTGACCCTCTCCAGCCAGGGCAGCCCCTCCAATGCCTGCCCCAGAAAACAGGCATCTCCTCTGGCCACCTCCCAAAGAAGCCTGTCTGGAAGCCTCAGGCACCTGCTCCTGGAAGTCTGTACTCATCACCTTTGCAACAAAACTCCTGTCCGCCCAGTCCTGTCGAGCACAGCCCTGTGCCCCCGAGCTCTGAACTGTCTTTTGCCCAAACTGGGATGACTCGTCAGAGCCTGCTGCCTGCTGCCAACTTGGCTCAGCCCAAATCACTCCACGAAATTGGGGTGTAGCGTCTGCCTCCAGGAGCATTTCTACAACCTCTGCTGCCTCTAACGCAAGTGAAAAATCCACCTCTGAACGCCTAGTTAGAACTACACAATTGTAAGGAAGAAAAAGGGGCCGGGTGTGGTGGCTCACACCTGTAATCCCAGCACTTTAGGAGGCGGAGGCAGGGGATCACTTGAGGCCACGAGTTGAAGGCCAGCCTGGCCAACATGGTGAAACCCCGTCTCTACTAAAAATACAAACATTACCTGGGCACAGTGGCTCATGCCTGTAATCCCAGCACTCTGGGAAGCCAAAGCAGGCAGATCACCTGAGGTCAGGAGTCCAAGACCAGCCTGGCCAACAAGGTGCAACCCTGTATCTACTAAAAAATGCAAAAGTTGGCCGGGCACAGTGGCTCACCCCTGTAATCCTAGCACTTTGGGAGGCTGAGGCAGGCGGATCACGAGGTCAAGAGATCGAGACCATTCTGGCCATCATGGTGAAAACCCGTCTCTATTAAAAATACAAAAATTGCCGGGCGCGGTGGCTCAAGCCTGTAATCCCAGCACTTTGGGAGGCCGAGGCGGGTGGATCACGAGGTCAAGAGATCGAGACCATCCTGGTCAACATGGTGAAACCCCG